TACAGCACGAAAACTGCGACTGCCACTGAACATATGTTTACGTGATATCGACGCACGACTGATAGACGGCACGCCGATGGCAATACGGGAACGCGTAGACCGTGTTCGGATTCGATGTGGGGGTAACTTCACGTTTAGCCAGGAAATGCTCGCAACGACCCTCGACGGAACCGATGTTTTACTCGGGTGTGATTGGTTGAAACGACACAATCCGCGAATCGGCTGGACGACGGGTGACTGGACCGTGCGAGTGAACGGTAACAACATTGCCTTACCTCGCTGGGGCTCACCTGAGTCTTCGTCGGTGCGTGTCAACGCGATCATGATGAAACGCGCCGTAGCGGCAGGAGCTGACGTGTACGCGGTCGACATTCGGGAAGCCGAGGCAGCACACAAAGGAGGGGATTTACAGAAACTGCTGACCGACGTACCGAGTGACCTGGCAGCACTGTTGAAGCGGTACAGCGACATTTTCCCTGACGATTTACCGACGGGACTGCCACCTCAGCGACCGCACGACCACATGATAGAGTTAGAACCGGGGGCACGGCCAACAGTACAGCGACAGTTCCGACTGACCCAGCCCGAACTGGACGAACTGAGGAAGCAGCTAGATTACCTGCTCGAGAAGGAATTCATTCGCCCTAGTTCGTCGCCCTTCGCAGCATCGATACTGTTCAGACCGAAAAAAGACAGGGGATTTCGCATGTGCATAGATTACAGAGCACTGAACAGGGTTACCATCAAATCCCGTTACCCCATCCCGCGAGCCGATGAACTGATCGACCAACTGCGCACACCCCGGGTTTTCTCGAAAATCGACCTCCGAGGGGGTTACCGCCAGATTTGCCCTAAGACCGCATTCCGCACACGCTACGGATCCTTCGAATACACCGTCATGCCTTTCGGAATGACCAACGCCCCCGCCACCTTTCAAATGACCATGAACGAGGCTTTCCGCCCGCTCTTAGATAAGTGCGTCATAGTATACCTGGACGACATACTGATTTACAGCCCTGACAGAGCACAGCACTTACAGGACATCGAAGCAGTTTTTAAAATACTGAGTGAAAACTGCCTACTGACAAAAGCATCCAAGTGTGAGTTTTTACAGGACCGCCTGGAATTTTTGGGCCACGTTATTTCAGCTGGAGGAGTGGAAATAGACCCGAAGAAAATTGCGACGATTCAAGCATGGCACGCGCCGACCAACTTGACCGAGCTGCAAATTTTTTTGGGGTTCGTCAACTACGTGCGCCGGTTCGTCCCCGACATGGCAAAGCTGACTGCCCCGTTGACCGACCTGCTGAGGAAGGGGGTTGAGTACACGTGGGGGGAGAAAGAGCAAGCTGCCTTCTCGGCCCTCAAAAACATTTTGTGCTCACCGCCCGTGCTTCACATCGCCGATCCACACCGTCCGTTCGAGCTCGTCACTTACGCAAGTGACATCGCTGTGGGAGCAGTACTGTTGCAGGATTTCGGGAACGGCCTCCAGCCAATCGCGTACGAGTCCCGCAAGCTGCACCCGCCCGAACGCAACTACCCGATACACGACCGCGAAATGTTGGCGATCGTGCACGGGTTCAAGGTTTGGCGGTGTTACCTGACTGGCGCCGACGTGACAGTACGGACAGATCACCGATCACTACAGTACTTACGCGCCCAACCGAATCTCAATCCACGACAGATTCGCTGGTTGGACTACCTCGAGTCCAACTTCCATTACACGGTTACGTACAAGAAAGGCGCATCCAACATCGCCGACGCACTCACCCGCCCTACCGCCCAACTCCACGCCATCCTACTCGCCCAGACCAACCCGCTTTTAACAGGCCTATTCACCCACGGATACCGCACCGACCCATTTTTCACGACTGGAAATTCACAGCAATTGGCAGAAGCTAAAGGAGTTTATTACGTAAAAACAGGCACCAACCGCATCTGGGTACCCACGTACTCACTAATGAGGGAGCTGCTACTGCAGGAGGCAGACGACGGAATTACCTCGGGACATTTTGGGGTAGAAAAAACGCGACAGCAACTGTAGCAGTATTACTACTGGCCGGAGCTGTTGATCGACGTGCAGTAGCACGTGGGCTCGTGCCCCACGTGTCAGGTGATGAAGAGCTCAAGGAAGCGGAAGGCGGGTCAATTGCAGCCGATACCACCGCCCGAGCGCGCCTGGCAGCAGGTTACCATGGACTTCGTCACACGGTTACCTTCGAACCCTGGGGGTAACGACGCGGTGATGGTCGTCGTTGACAGGTCGACGAAGATGGCACACTTCGCTGCGTGCAAAAAGTCGATCTCAGCCGAGGAGACCGCTCGTCTGTTCATCGCAGCCGTTGTTCGCCTGCACGGGATACCAGCAGCGATTATCAGCGACAGGGACACGAAGTTTACCAGCAACTTCTGGAAAAATCTCTGGGAGCAGTTCGGGACCAGGCTACAGTTCAGTTCGTCGTACCACCCCGAGACCGACGGTCAACCGGAGCGGACGAATCAGACGATGGAGCAGTTGATTCGTGCCACGTGCAACGACCCCACGACTTGGGAGCAGCAGCTGTCGCTGATCGAGTTCGCGTACAACAATGCCACGTCAGCGACGACGCAGCAGTCCCCCTTCTACCTGAACTACGGGCAAAACCCTACAGTGCCCATGATGCCGAGTCCGGACAACCCAACACCACGTGCATAGCAATTCGCCGAAATTCTGCAAGCTGCCCGCACCAGAGCCGCAGAAGCAATTAAAAAAGCGAACGTCATCGCTAAGCGCAACGCTGACCGCCACCGCCGCCCAGTCACATACCAGTCAGGGGTTTACGTACTGCTCGACACGCAAAATCTGCGACTGCCCGACGTACCAAAACTTCGACCGCGCTACTGTGGCCCATTCCAAATCAGCCACATGATCACGCCAGTAACCGCGCACCTACTGTTACCGACCGACTGGTACATCAGCCTTTCGTTCCACATCAGCTTGCTTCGCCCATACATCCCAACCACAAGCCAACTGCCTCGCCACCGCCCGCCATCCATGAGTCGCCCTGCATCGGAGCCGATCGTCGAGCCCGAAAAAATCCTGAGCCATCGGATTCGACACCCTACGTGAATCAAGAGGATTGAATTCCTCGTTCGCTGGAAGGATCGCACGCCAACTGAGGATAGCTGGGTGCCCCTAGCCAGCATCGAAAACCACCCTGCCCTGCAAGTGTATCCGAGGAGCCGGGGATTCCGCGATATACACGCACTCGCGTAGCGGAGGGGGCTTCTTGAGGGGGGGGGTAGTGTAAGGAATTTTCTCGGCATTCCTTACGGAGCCCGACTACATCACGTACAGCAACAGCCGTTGTTCGCCCATTACTGCTAACGGGGCTTCGCCGACTTCGCGCGCACTGTTTCACCAAACCTCGCACTGCTAACCTGGCCGTGTCGACCTACGCTTCGGGACTAACCCGAGCCTCGCTCCAGCGTAGCACTAGCTAGCTAGCACGCACCACGTTTCCGTTTCCATGTTCGCATATGAATGTTCGCTCATGCCTTCGCTCACATTTTGTACTCGTTTGGCAGCTTAGTGCAATTCTCGCTACTTCGATTCATTGCACCCGTAATTGTATGACTTGTTGAAATTAGGAGGTCGCTAGAGTAGCGGAAATACTCTAGGAAATAACGACGTCCCAGCGGCGGGGCTATGGTCACTCAGAGGTAGCTCTCCTGGCTTGTAACTTGGCGCCAAAGCGGCGGCCGAGGGTAGGCCGGACACAAGCTTGAGAATTGTGTAATGATAGCATGGCAGTACATTGAGTTATATAGGAAACATAGCAGGGAGGCAGTTACCAAGGCGCAACTGTATTACAGTTGCGCTGTAACGTTTCAGTTGCCCAGTTACTGGCGAGACCTTTCAGCTTCGGCAAGGGCGCGGTATTCTGCCGCGCCTCCAGGGTGGTTTCGCGTCCTGTAGACGCTGCCTCTTGCTCAATTCGACCCTTCGGCTGCCACGCGGGTCGCAACCACTGTACGCGGTTGCGCCCCTGCAGTTCGATACTCGGGTCAACATCCTCGATATTGAGGGCTTCGCTTCTGCACTTAGAACAGTGCACTGAAAGATAAATAACACACAAATATATTTCCAACATGACTCAAGTTCGACACTTGAAGTAGGCAAATCTGAACGAGGTAGCATTTTCCGCGAGTAATCTTACCATACCTAGTTAGATATAACTTAATATCATCAGTGTTACTACACCACATAACTCTGAAATATCAGTGTGGTATAACCAAACACTTTTTCTTGTAAGGGTTAAAATGTTGACCACTCTGATAAAAAAGGGTGCATCGTCAAACCCAGCCTTTTAGTAAGGGTCATAAGGGTGAATCACCCTGTTAACCAGAGGCCTGGGAGTACGGTAGTTGTAGAGAAGCAATGGAGGTGCGAACTTCTAGGGGACTCGCTGTGCAGTTCAAGTGATAGTCTTTTAGGGGACGCTGATTGCAATTCAATACCATACCCTTTCATGTGCACTCCCTCTACGAGTAAAACCAAAAAGTTCTCAGCCAAACTAGACATGCCTGTCACATAAAGCCAACCAAAAAGTTCATTCATTCTTTAGTCAAACGAATTTGCAATACCGTAAGTGAGGTCACTTCATTGCATGAAATCTGCACACAAGGAATTGCAGAATCGGGTCCCGAGTCATGCGCGGAATCAGCAGCTTGAGAAAGGACTCCTGTGCGGGAAAGGTGCGAGAACCTTGTCTCCTGGATGGAACTTGTAAACGTGACACAGGACTCCTTCTGAGTCAGGTCAGGATTTACGAAGATGTACACGCGGCTTTGAGGAACGTGCAGGAATCTCCTCCCAAAACAGCTCCATCGTGTTCCCTGGAAAGAACTACACAATGAATCCGTTCCTTTCTTCCAACTCGGCTCAAGAGCTACGGAGAGCTACGACAAGGCGGCTTGAGGAAGGAGTCCTGTGCGGGCATCTCCTCTCAACAGAGCTACGAGGAGGCGGGAACGAGCGGCTTGAGGAAGGACTCCTGTGCGGGCATCTCATCCCAAAAGAGCTCCAGCTTGTCTCCTGGGTGGAACTTCTTGGTGGCTCCCTCCTTGTCAATCTGTGGGGGGTGGGAAAAAACAACACAAGTCGTGTGGGACCAGGTGTGCCCTGGCTTCGGTGCATTGGTGGCGAAAGGATTAACATGAGCACTTGAGAAACGAAACCGGAAACGAGTGTGGGAAGGGGGGGATGAGGGGGGAACAGGGAGAAACTGCACCGTGCACATAGGCCAGGGCAGTAAACTGGGATTGTGGAGGACAGCAGAGAGAAAGCACTCAGGAGTGCAGGTTTTGTCACAAAGCAGCATCCAAAGAGCGGCATGACATGCAAATAGAGACGATTGAGCAACGTGGCAGTTTCGAAGAAAAGCAGCACTACTGAGGTAAGGTGCAAGAGACCCACCGTGACGGTGCGCACGCATCCCCCACTTGCCCCGTCGCGAGCCATGGCGAGAGACACCGCCTTCACTACATAGGCCTGGCATGGACGGACACACATGCACAGGGCAAATGAGATCAATTGAGGCACTAAGCACAGGGCACAGGTCAGGCACAGGGCACAGGGCACAGGGCACAGGGCACAGGGCACAGGGCACAGGGCACAGGGCACAGGGCACAGGGCACAGGGCACAGGGCACAGGGCACAGGGCACAGGGCACAGGGCACAGGGCACAGGGCACAGGGCACAGGGCACAGGGCACAGGGCACAGGGCACAGGGCACAGGGCACAGGGCACAGGGCACAGGGCACAGGGCACAGGGCACAGGGCACAGGGCACAGGGCACAGGGCACAGGGCACAGGGCACAGGGCACAGGGCACAGGGCACAGGGCACAGGGCACAGGGCACAGGGCACAGGGCACAGGGCACAGGGCACAGGGCACAGGGCACAGGGCACAGGAGCACACATACCCCACTCGCCCCATTGTGAGGCACAGAGCTCAGAGCACAGAATACGTGACTTGCAAGGTATAGAGAGAATACAGCACATGCACAGAGAGAACACAGCATATTCACAGAGAGAACACAGCATATGCACAGAGAGAACACAGCATATGCACAGAAAGAATTCAGCATATGCACAGAAAGAATGCAGCGTATGCACAGAGAGATTACAGCACATCATATGCACAGATACTTTCAAGCTTTATGCCTGAACACATCTCCTTTATGAGCCCCCTTTCCTGTATCCTAGACCTTGACCGCTTACCTCACCCTGCTCTTTACTCATCCCTCTTCAACACTCACCTCCGCCACCCTTGCCCTCCTTCAAGTGCATGTCACAGAAGTTGTAAATGGACGACACGTGTGCTGATCTTCCATATTCTCTACATCAAAACCAAAGCTCACCTCCGCTTCCTCCTTGCTCATGCCCTCCTTGAAGGCAGAGAGGTATGAGGAGCCCGACCCTCCAATGTGCTTGATGAAATACAGGTGCGCTGAAAGTGCCTTACAACATCAGGAAGTCTCACCTCGGCTTCCTCCTTGCTCATGCCCTCCTTGAAGGTCGCATCACAGAAGGCAAAGAGGTACGAGGAGCCGGACCCTCCGATGGCGAAGGGCGCCTTGAGCAGCGTGCCTCCCTGCGGCAGCGCGTACACCGATGCACCGTCGTACTGGTCCCACCCGCCCACTATCATGCCCGCTGATAGCATGTTCTGCGGGATAAGGAAGGGTGAGGGCGCAGGGAAAGCGAGAGGTGCAGGGGGGATTGGGGGGCAGGGGGGATGAGGGAGGGATGAGGTGGACGGAGCAGTGCGTACAACAACGCCCCATCGTACTGGTCCCACCCGCCCACTATCATGCCCGCTGATAGCATGTTCTTCTGGTGGGTAGAAATGAGGGTGCAGGGGGTACGAGGGTGAAGGGGTATCAGGGAGCAGGAGTGATGAGGGGGAAGAGGACGAAGCAGCGCGTACACTGATCCCCCGTCGTACTGGTCCCACCTGCCCACTATCATGCCCGCTGATAGCATGTTCAGCGAAACACGCAAGGAGATAGAGCAAGAACAAGGGAGGATGAGGGACGGATGAGGATAGCATGTTCTATTCCGACATAAAACAAGGGTCCCCGCCCACAACTATGGCTAACAACGCCACACGAAGGATCAGGGAGGACAAAACATGGGCAATGCAAGGCGCACACAACAAGGGATGAGGACGCGGGCAGCAGGGAAGATGCGCCACCAAGACACACACAGTAAGACATGGAAACGACCATGCCATGTCAGGATCATGCCTGCTGTCAACATGTCAGGATCATGCCTGCTGTCAACATGTCAGGATCACGCCTGCTGTCAACATGTCAGGATCACGCCTGCTGTCAACATGTCAGGATCATGCCTGCTGTCAACATGTCAGGATCACGCCTGCTGTCAACATGTCAGGATCATGCCTGCTGTCAACATGTCAGGATCATGCCTGCTGTCAACATGTCAGGATCATGCCTGCTGTCAACATGTCAGGATCATGCCTGCTGTCAACATGTCAGGATCATGCCTGCTGTCAACATGTCAGGATCACGCCTGCTGTCAACATGTCAGGATCACGCCTGCTGTCAACATGTCAGGATCATGCCTGCTGTCAACATGTCAGGATCATGCCTGCTGTCAACATGTCAGGATCATGCCTGCTGTCAACATGTCAGGATCATGCCTGCTGTCAACATGTCAGGATCATGCCTGCTGTCAACATGTCAGGATCACGCCTGCTGTCAACATGTCAGGATCATGCCTGCTGTCAACATGTCAGGATCATGCCTGCTGTCAACATGTCAGGATCATGCCTGCTGTCAACATGTCAGGATCATGCCTGCTGTCAACATGTCAGGATCATGCCTGCTGTCAACATGTCAGGATCATGCCTGCTGTCAACATGTCAGGATCATGCCTGCTGTCAACATGTCAGGATCACGCCTGCTGTCAACATGTCAGGATCATGCCTGCTGTCAACATGTCAGGATCATGCCTGCTGTCTACATGTCAGGATCATGCCTGCTGTCAACATGTCAGGATCATGCCTGCTGTCAACATGTCAGGATCATGCCTGCTGTCAACATGTCAGGATCATGCCTGCTGTCAACATGTCAGGATCATGCCTGCTGTCAACATGTCAGGATCACGCCTGCTGTCAACATGTCAGGATCATGCCTGCTGTCAACATGTCAGGATCATGCCTGCTGTCAACATGTCAGGATCATGCCTGCTGTCAACATGTCAGGATCATGCCTGCTGTCAACATGTCAGGATCATGCCTGCTGTCAACATGTCAGGATCATGCCTGCTGTCAACATGTCAGGATCATGCCTGCTGTCAACACGTCAGGATCATGCCTGCTGTCAACATGTCAGGATCATGCCTGCTGTCAACACGTCAGGATCATGCCTGCTGTCAACATGTCAGGATCATGCCTGCTGTCAACATGTCAGGATCATGCCTGCTGTCAACATGTCAGGATCATGCCTGCTGTCAACACGTAAGGTTCATGCCTGCTGTCAACACGTCAGGATCATGCCTGCTGTAAACATGTCAGGATCATGCCTGCTGTCAACATGTCAGGATCATGCCTGCTGTCTACATGTCAGGATCATGCCTGCTGTCAACATGTCAGGATCATGCCTGCTGTCAACATGTCAGGATCATGCCTGCTGTCAACATGTCAGGATCATGCCTGCTGTCAACATGTCAGGATCATGCCTGCTGTCAACATGTCAGGATCACGCCTGCTGTCAACATGTCAGGATCATGCCTGCTGTCAACATGTCAGGATCATGCCTGCTGTCAACATGTCAGGATCACGCCTGCTGTCAACATGTCAGGATCATGCCTGCTGTCAACATGTCAGGATCACGCCTGCTGTCAACATGTCAGGATCATGCCTGCTGTCAACATGTCAGGATCATGCCTGCTGTCAACATGTCAGGATCATGCCTGCTGTCAACATGTCAGGATCATGCCTGCTGTCAACATGTCAGGATCATGCCTGCTGTCAACATGTCAGGATCATGCCTGCTGTCAACATGTCAGGATCATGCCTGCTGTCAACATGTCAGGATCATGCCTGCTGTCAACACGTCAGGATCATGCCTGCTGTCAACACGTCAGGATCATGCCTGCTGTAAACATGTCAGGATCATGCCTGCTGTCAACACGTCAGGATCATGCCTGCTGTCAACATGTCAGGATCATGCCTGCTGTCAACATGTCAGGATCACGCCTGCTGTCAACATGTCAGGATCATGCCTGCTGTCAACATGTCAGGATCATGCCTGCTGTCAACATGTCAGGATCATGCCTGCTGTCAACATGCGATGTTGCACAACGCGGAAATGGAATTGCGAGCCAGTCGAAAAAACGTGGGAAACGTGGGATATGCTTTGAAAGGGAAGAGGAAACGTGGGATGGAAGAGGGGGAGGCGGGGGGGGGGGGTGGCGGTGGGATGTCCAGGAAAATAGTGTTTGAAATAACACATGGTGGCTAATAGGTTGTGGACAAGAATGGAGTCACCTTGTTGTGGTAGCTGATTTGCTTGACCACATTAGCCACCGTCTTCACATCTGTAGGCTTGCCCAGCTCCATCCTGATGCCATGCCATGCCATGGCATGCCACGCCACACCACGGGATTGGAGACAGAAGGCTTGATGTGAGATGGTGTGATACTATGCGATGATCTAATGGGATGTGATGTGATGTGATGTGATGTGATGTGATGTGATGTGATGTGATGTGATGTGATGTGATGTGATGTGATGTGACACGATGTGATGTGACACGATGTGTGCATATTCAACCATAAGACATGCACAAACAACCAATTCACAACATGTGCATAAAGATATCGAAGGGTCGCTGATAGCATGCATAGACTAGATAGAACCGGAGAGCAACGTCCTGCAACCTTTTGATTGAATGTGAACTCATTGCTGCTACCCAAATCCTGAAAAAAAAAAGTTTCAGTCCGAGATCACTCACTATGCTGACTGGCAAGGTAGTTGTGTGCAAAGGTGGACACCGCTACCTGCACTCCTTGCTGCATTCACTGCTGCTGCGAGAGGTAGTGTTGTGCATACGTGGACACTGTCTGGGTGTCTTTGTTTCTATCCCTCTCCGTGCTGCTCTCAGCACTCACATGAGTAAGCTCTGCACTCACTGGTGTTGTGAGAGGTAGTACTGTGCATACGTGGACACTGTCTGGGTGTCCGCAGCCTGCAGAGAAAAAGATGGTTGCAGCCAGATGTTAGGAAAGTGAGTATTGCTAACAAGGTTGACAGCAAGAGCAGATATTATTAAGTTGATAATCAGGCAAATAGGCTGACATTCGGGCAAACGGGTTGACATTCAGGCAAACAGGTTGACATTCAGGCGAACAGGCTGACATTCAGGCAAACAAGCTGACATTCAGGTAAACAGGTTGACATTCAGGCAAACAGTCTGAGATATAGGCAAAAAGGCCAACATTCAGGCAAACAGGCTGACATTCAGGCAAACAAACTGACATCCAGGCAAACAGGCTGACATTCAGGCAAACAGGTTGACATTTAGGCAAACAGGCTGACATTCAGGCAAACAGGCTGACATTCAGGCAAACCGGTTGACATTCAGGCAAACAGGCTGACATTCAGGCGAACAGGCTGACATTCAGGCAAAGAGGTTGACATTCAGGCAATCAGGCAGACATTCAGGCAAACAGGCTGACGTTCAGGCAAAGAGGCTGGCATTCAGGCAAACAGGCTGGCACTTAGGCAAAGGGGCGACATTCAGGCAAACAGGCGGACGTTCAGGCAAACAGGCTGGCACTTAGGCAAAGGGGCGACATTCAGGCAAACAGGCGGACGTTCAGGCAAACAGGCTGACGTTCAGGCAAACAGGTTGACATTCAGGCAAACAGGTTAACATTCAGGCATACAGGTTGACATTCATGCAAACAAGCTGACATTCAGGCAAACAGGCTGACATTCAAGCAAACAAGTTGACATTCAGGCAAACAGGCTACAATTCAGGCAAACAGGCTGACATTCAGGCAAGCAGGCTGACATTCAGGCAAACAGGCTGACATTCCAGCAACTGACCTTCAGGCAAACCGGTTGACATTCAGGCAAACAGGCTGACATTCAGGCAAACAGGCTGACATTCAGGCAAACAGGCTGGCATTCAGGCAATCAGGCTGACATTCAGGCAATCAGGCTGGCGTTCAGGCAAACAGGCTGACATTCAGGCAGCAAACATCTAGGTTGACAATGAAACAAACATCCAGGTTGACAATCAAGCAAACATCCAGGTTGAGAATCAGGCAAACATCTAGGTTGAAAATCAGGCAAATATCCAGGTTGAGAATCAGGCAAACATCCAGGTTGAGAATCAGGCAAACATCTAGGTTGAAAATCAGGCAAACATCCAGGTTGACGATTAGGCGGACATCTCTAATCACATTACCTTTCATTGTAAAAAAGCAAAAATCCCTTTAACAGCAGCAATCCAATCACTCACAGAGCCTGATCGGCAGAGGTAGGCGAAGTCTGTGAGAGCAGTGATCTTCTCAGACGCTCTGTTGCTGATGTACGTTCCTGGCGATGGCGCAGGAGAAAGACACGGGAGATCATGGAAGAGGAGGGAGTGAGAGGGCCATCAGAAAGCACGGACAGCAGTGATCTTCTCA